CATTAACTATACAGCTCTTCGACTAGTGTATGGGCTTGATCTGAGATTATAAGAAACGTGAACGTCCAGGCTGTGTTGGCATGGTGCATTGGTAGGCGTTAGTCCCGCGAAAGGCAGCTATTAACTGGGGTTCGAGTCCTCACAGATGCACAGTGCAGTCGTTCACGCAGCTTATTTTTTCAGATCAAAAATTAAATTCAAAAATATAATTATTTACCGACAACCATATCGGAATAATTATCTTAAGAATAACACCTGACTCTAAACCAAAGAGTTCAATTGACGTCTAATAGATGTCACTAATTGCTGATATAGTCGAAATCTTCCTTAATTAATTTCAAAAGAATTTGAATTATCAAAATTTTTCAAAAATCAAAAATTTTATAAAATTTTAAATTAAATTCATTCAAAATAAAAATTTTATAAAATTTCAAATTGTAAACGCAAAATTGAATTGATTTTGAAATATTTAAATGAACGGATAACTATTTGTATTTTTTTCATATGTCAAGTTCTCTTCCTCCTCAATTATGATTGGCAAATAAGTATTTGGAAACGACGGCAACAATGTATGAATGTCGCACACGAAAATTTTCGAACAACCTATCTCGAACGGTCATTGAGAATAAACTTTCAGAGTCGCATGCGACATTAACCATTCGACATTTTACGCATGCGAGAATTGTCGAATGCTTTCGAGATTGTTTCGAGAATATCAGAATACGGCCCCGGAGAAGGAAATGCGATCACCAGCTTAACGTAACTGCAGCTCGCAACGAACATAACAAACAAGTGAATATACGGACGAGCAACGTAATAAATAAGTTAACGAACAATCAGTTGATAATAAAGACTTATACATTTACAATTATTTAAGTGAATTACAAGTGTTTTGAATTGGCGTGTTTATACGAAGCCAAAAATTTGTCAACTACAGCTTCCCTGTAGTAAAGAAGAAGAAGAAGCTTAATACCTGGGCAATAAGCTTACTGCCGGCAATTAGACGAATACACGACGAAATCGTTTAGATTTGTCTATTTGCCTAGGCAGTAAGCTTAATTCCCGGCAGTAAGCTTATTGCCCGACGAAGATTCGGCAATTAGACGAATCACATTAGAATCCATTTGCAGTGCACAAACGTCCTATAAAAAATTAATTAAAAACAATAATAATGATAATAATATTTCTTGACTCATATAAATAATTTTCGACTAAAATAAATACTGCTTGAGTCAAATAAGCATTTATTAACTGAAATAAATAATTCTGGACAGAATTAAATATTTCTTGAGTAAAAAAATATCTCCTGAGTCAAATAAATAATTTTTTTACTTTTGCATAAAGAAAAATATTTCTCGACTAAAATAAATTTTGTTTAAGTCAATCAAACAATTCTTGACTAAAATATTCCTTTAGTGAAATAAATATTTATTGAGTCAAATAGAGATTTCTTGATTTAAATAAATATTTCTTGACTCAAATAAATGCTTCTTGACATAAATATTTGTTATCATTGAGAAATATTTCTTGAGTCTAATAAATATTTTTTGACTCAAAAAGAAATAATTCTTGGATGAAAAAAAATATTTCTTAGGAAAATATAAATTATTTATTTGACTCAGGAGATATTTTTTTTACTCAAGAAGTATTTAATTCTGTCCAGAATTATTTATTTCAGTTAAGAAATGTTTATTTGACTCAAGCAATATTTATTTTAGTCGAAAATTATTTATATGAGTCAAGAAATATTATTATTATTATTATTGTTTTTAATTAATTTTTTATAGGACGTTTGTGCTCTGCAAATGGATTCTAATGTGGTTCGTCTAATTGCCAAATCTTCATCGGGCAATAAGCTTACTGACGGGTATTAAGCTTACTGCCTAGGCAAATAGACAAATCTGAACGATTTCGACGTGTATTCGTCTAATTGCCGGCAGTAGGCTTATTGCCTAGGAATTAAGCTTAATGCGAAATGAAAGCTTAAGCAAAATGTACATTCTATTAAGTCAATAAATATCTAAGTCCACTTGTCACTTTACGCTCTGGTTTATTATTCACTATTTTTTCTATTATTAATATTAATGTAATCAATTTTACAACTCATTTTTTCTGGAACACTAATTTTCAGTACTTTTTTTTAACTTACTGGCAATCTTTTTAAATATTGTAATAATGGGTCAAAATAAGTGAAACCGGCCACTTGAAAAATTTTTATCTCCAATTTTCAAGTTATCTATGATTTTTAGTAGATATATGAGTACACTTTTTCCCCCTAAAATATTTTTCAAAAAAAAATTTTATTTTTGAAGTAATTAGGTATTGAAGTTTTAGGTCATTTTATTTTCATTTTATTATTACTTTGAAACAAATAATGATAATTAAGTAATTTTTTTTTAAATTAAAGCTTAAAGTCTATACTTTAAAGATGAAATAAAGCGATTGCTAAAAAATGAAAATTTATAATTGTTATTAACAATTCTTTTAAACAATTGCAAATTGAAGAATGTTCTCAATGTTTTTGAAAGATTAAATTACGATATATTGATGCGCAAAACTATAAGGATTCATTTAAAAAAAAGAAAAATGAGTAACCTCCAATATTATAGAAATTATGTAAATTTTGCTGACAAAATGCAAGCAAAAATTGACTCAAGTTCCTGGAAAAAGATAAAATTGCAAACGAATAAATAAGATCTTCTTTTGTTTTGTTAGAAACTTCACGCTTTCAAGCGGATTTTTAAGATTAAAAATCGATTTTGGCCTGCATTTTGGCAGGAAAATCTACACAATTTCTATAATATTGGAGGTTACTCATTTTTCTTTTTTTTAAATGAATCCTTATAGTTTTGCGCATCAATATATCGTAATTTAATCTTTCAAAAACATTGAGAACATTCTTCAATTTGCAATTGTTTAAAAGAATTGTTAATAACAATTATAAATTTTCATTTTTTAGCAATCGCTTTATTTCATCTTTAAAGTATAGACTTTAAGCTTTAATTTAAAAAAAAAATTACTTAATTATCTTTATTTGTTTCAAAGTAATAATAAAATGAAAATAAAATGACCTAAAACTTCAATACCTGATTACTTCAAAAATAAAATTTTTTTTTGAAAAATATTTTAGGGGGAAAAAGTGTACTCATATATCTACTAAAAATCATAGATAACTTGAAAATTGGAGATAAAAATTTTTCAAGTGGCCGGTTTTACTTATTTTGACCCTAATATTCTATATATGAACAATTTAAATCATTTGGTAAAATCACAATATTTAAATCGTCTTATGTTGAGATAATCGCTTTTTATTTCTGATATGTTAACCCGTCAGCAGTCGCGCCTTTTTTAGTGTCTCACTTGCACTCTAAAAGCGCCCTATAGGTCGAGTAGTGTTGCGTGAGACTTTTTCTCACGGCGCGACCGCTGACGGGTTAAATCAAAATACATAACTAAAAAATAGACCTGAGCTTGTTTATAAAAGTATTCATAGTTAAAGTACATATTGACGTAAAAAAGACAATTTTTTTTTAATTCTAATAAAAACTGAATAATAAGAAGTAAATATACTTGAAGTTAGTGACCGTTTATTAATGATGTATTTTGAGTAAAAGGTTTATCGGTCGTGTTTTTTTAATAAAAGTAAAAATTCACTTTTTTAAAAAATTTTATTGATGGGTCGGTACCGACCCGAAACGTTGACACTTTTGTTAATAAAATTTTTTAAAAAAGTGAATTTTTACTTTTATTAAAAAAACACGACCGATAAGCCTTTTAGTCAAAATACAATAAGAAGTAAAATTTTCAATATTCCCTGTTTGAAAGGGAATTTAAGAAAAGAGAACTGAAAATTATACAATTAATGTAGATTTAAGAGCTTTTTTCTATAACTTTAATTACATTTTCTTTCGTTCGTTGTTTGTATAATACAAACTCACCTCAATTGTTCTTGTTTCCTTTTTTTCATCAAATATTTGAATATTCTAAAAATATTGTTAGCATTTTTCAGCAAAAATTTAAACAATAATTTAGCGACGCTCATTTATCTAAAAATTTTACTTACATTACAGCTATACTTGTCATTATCGATAAAAATTAGTTCAACTGTTGAACTGGACTTGACACAAACACTATTAAATTTACATTTACGCTTATCTAAAATAAATGATAAGAATAAAAACTTGAATATATTGAAAGACTGCTTTCCTCGTATATAAAAACTAAAATATATATCGATAATTTTATTCCTTTGGTAACAAGATTACGATTACTAAACACATTTTTTGTTATGTATATCGATTATTATTCGCTAAAGCAAATTTTCTTTTTGGAATTCTAATTATTTCTTTTTATTAATAGATTGTCTCCATAAAGTAACACAAATCTTATTTTTAAATCTCAATTTCAACTAATTTTCATTCATGACTTCGAACAATTTTCTTTTAATAAAAAATAAAAATTTATTGACACTAGTATAAAATAGCACAACAGGAAAAGTTGTTTCATTTTTCTAGGAAAAATGTTATGTATCAACAAAAAAGGCGCCTTTGAATGCAAAGTAAAAAAGTTAATAATATATTTTTTATCCCACATGCACAAAAATGGCGCTTTTAGATAACTGACGACAGGGAGTAAAGTCACTCATTTGTTCGACCATATGAAAATGGCGTCCATTTTCATATAAGTCGAACAAGTGACTGACTTTTATTCCCTGTCGTCTGCTATCTGAAATCGCCACTTTTGTGCATTAGGAATAAAAAATATCGTAAGTAACATGGGAATAAAGGCAGCCAATTTGTTTACGATGATTTTTGTGACACTCGTTCCGGTCTCGGGGCGCCTACGGTGCCCTCGACCTCCACTCGTGTCACAAAAATCACCGTAAACAAATGGCTGCCTTTATACCCTTGTTGCTTAATATACTATTTTTGTTCACTTTTCATATGATGAAAAACGTTCAACTATTGTACGAAGTCAGGATATTAATTAAAATTTTAATATTATATGTGTAGAAAATTTTATTTCTGTGAGCGCTTAAACGACTAGAAAGCCTGGTAAGGATTTTTCTTTTGCTCTTTTTCCTTAAGCGCAAATCTTTATTTACACGAGTCTTTAATTCTCTTTTTTCCCTTCGAGATCCAAGGATTGGTCATCAATTTCCAGCTCTCCTAAAATAAATAATAACTATTTTAAAAATTGTCTTCCAACAAAACAACTGAATTTTTTTTCTGTAAAAATTAGAGAATGTACTTATTAATTGGTATTTTACTAAATAATAAAAATGGTAAATCCGCAAAAGTTAATTGATTAATCGAGGACGTACCACGGCAGAGATTTGCGTCTGCGAGGTTTTTGTCCTGATCAGGACTGTTTAGTTTATCCGTCTAGAACGATAAATATCAGTTAAATTCAATATTGAAATTAAAATAAATAAATTAAAAATTAAAATTAGTCACAATTAGTTAAAATTAAGAAAAAATTTGTAAACTATTACCGCAAAATATTTTTGCCATAAAACGCATCCATAAACGCAGAGTACTGAGACTAGAGATTGACATAATAACCAAAGGAGAATATTTAAAGCTTGGGTACGTTCGAAGAGAGTTGCTCCGTGTCGTATGCAAAGTAAAGCCTCAGTGACCATAATAGCTCCATAGACCCAACATTGAGTCCCCACTCGATGACAAGCAGGATCTGTCACGTAGGTATAATATTGACTGAGAAAAGAAAAGAACATTCGTAATTAGAAGAAAATATTTCTTCATTTCATAATTGTAATTATTTCATTATTATCAAAAATTATACTTACTTCACTGATGGAGCGACAATGACACCAATCAAAATCAATCTCGTCACAACAAACGGATGCGAAGGCGGAAATTCATAAACGTGTTTCAAAAAGAATGTATTCAATTCAGAAACTTGCCAGAATATAACAAGTTGAACGAGTGCAACAAATCTCATATGCGTACAAGTTGGATCCAGCCATCTCACTGATGTCCAACTCATCGGCGTAAATTGAAGAACAGCCCTTTTCAATTTCCCCGTTGTACTTTCAATATCACGAATGCTGACCCATTTATATTCTCTCATTTCAAGTATTCGACATATCTTTAGACCAACCCAAATACCTAAACCATTGCAAATTAAAACATCGAGAATAAATGCATCCCACCAGCATTCCAAAAAATTCGGCAACAAATGAGCAAACGTAATTTCCGTCACTTCCCACATAATACTTATTGCCCATAATATACCAAAGTGACGTATTAAAATTGCCTTAAATGTCCAACCAAGAAAATGTGCCACTGCAAATACATCCAAATGATTGTAGATCTTTTCCAATGTTATGTCGGAACAATTGACACCATACTCTTTATCCATATCGATGTGAAATGACGATAAGCCCGGTTCGATCCAAACAAATATATTTCGCACAGTCTCATAACTTTGAAATAACATGAATAAGAGGGCCATTAAATAAAGTACACTGCATCCAAATACAATTCGCCAAACAACTGGATGTGGTCGCGTAAATGGTCCATTTGGAAATGTTAGAACCGAAATTATCAGAAAGAAGAAAATTACACACAATAATCCGGCCCACAAGTTGTCTTCTACATTCGTGGTGTCCCTGTTTAAACAAACAAAAAAAAACATCGTTCAAAAATGTGTTTAAAAAAACCTCTTTCAAAAATTTGAAAATTCTTCACCTAAACTCACTTTATCCAAACTTCCATTTGTTCGACAGTTATAATTATTTAAATATCAATTCACATTTCCAAATTATATTAAAAACAAACTATTTCTATGAAACCATTCTCTTAAACTTTGTATTATTATTTTCCACTTCGCGTGCAACATTATTCAACTTGTATACTGATAAATAAAAAAAATATATTTACACAAAAGAATATTTCATATTTGAAATATTGTTTAAACTATTCTTTTTTTCAGTGAAGGATAACAAAAACTATTCTTCAAACGATAAGTTATTTATTATAATTCTTATCGTAAACCTAATTATGCAAACTTAACGTATAAAATTATTACAGATACTTTAGAAGTTATAAAAATATAGAAAGCATTCTACTGTATTTGTTATATTTTATTACGTCAGCATTATTATCGTTTTTTAATAACAGGTTTACTCGTTCAATGTTAATAGTCTCGAACTGTCTAAAAGCTTCTATTTTGATTAATTGACAATTTCTATGAAAAAAAAGAGAAATTGAAGGAAAAATTAAATTAAATCCAACAGAATTGTAAACAACTTTTTACTACTTATCTCATAAAGTAACAATTTCAATAGTTTACTATCAAAAAGTAACAAATTTGTGTCTAAAGGAGAAAGATTGATTGGAAAAGTAAATGTAATTTATAAATATGTAAAAATATTGTGAATGATTTTGAATTTACGAGATTACGTATAGGTATAAGCAATAAATTTCGATTGTATATTCAATGTATGCCTCTTATCTACTAGAGGTGATTATAAAACAACTTACAAGTAACAAATATATCTATTATAATGTGATCACATCATTTGAAATTCTTTTAACTAAAAATATCTGTACTCATTGTTCAAAGACAAAGACTATTAACATTATAGGCTTGATTACATCATTTTTTTCTCACCTGACAAAAGCGAAATAAATAACAGCTCCAATTGACAATAAAAGTAAAGTAATTGTATGTGGTTTATAAAAGAATTCGATGGAAATGTCGTCCACTGGTTTTTCATTAATATTAAAAAAACTATCGGTACCGGAACGTGTTTTACATTCCTGTGTAAACGTGGACCCAACATCTTCTTGTTTTTTTTCCTTCCTATTTTTAAGATTACTACTAGTCAGACTTTTATCACTTGTCATTTTGCTTTATCATTTAAACTTTTTCACAATTCTAACACAATCATTTCCTTTAAGGCTTAATTTGAATTTAATATAATTTAATTAACATTCAGACATTATTATATTTTATACTTTAAAATAACGATAGACTCAACGTGAGACAAGGTGAGAGCAAGTGAGCAAATGACCACAAAATACAAATGAGCTATATGTTCAAGAAAATTTTCAGGTTAGGTTATAATAAACAGGATTACACTGTGAAGTTAGCCGAAAATCAATTATCGAAGTTCGAAAATCATTCGATTCGATTCGTAAACATAACCTCAAATCAACCTGTCATGAATATGTCAAAAAGGTCAAAAATATGTATCTTTTGGTTTCCTTAATTGATTGTTTTTAAGATAAAATAATTAATTCCATGTTATAAAAATGAGTGATCACGATAATGAAGCTGTGATAAAGGTATTTAATAATTTAGTTCTTCTTAAAATTTGACATTTATTAATTTATTCATAAACGTTTATGTTACTATTAAAATCGTTTATTCCAGATTCAATATTATTCTAATTTTTTAAATACAAAAAATTATTCAGGTATTCATTAAAATAGAGTCAAATTTTTTAAAATCTAATAATTTACGCTGTGTCTATTTCGTAAATATAATTTAATTTTAATTTCTATTTAACGGGCGAAATAAGAGAGATGAATTATTTCGCCCGTCATGAAAATTAGTAAGTGGGGGCAAACGGGCGAAATAACAAGAGTAAATTCTTTCGCCCATCATGAAAAATAAGTAAAAATATGTAAAACGGGCGAAGTAGCAATGACACATTGCTTCGCCCGTTTTTGGTTTTTTAATTAATTTTAATGGGAAAAAGGTTAGCTTGTCACTTGTATATTTTTGTGAAGATTGAATTAAAAAGTTGTAAATTTTTATAATAATTCACAAAGTTTCTTTATTTATCAATATTTCTGGTGCTCATTAGTAATTTTCTACATAATATTTTATAAAAGAAACTAGATTATGTATTTTAATATTTTTCCTATCTATCTATGTAGACTAAAAACATTCATTTTTAGAAAATTTTTATTATTTTTGTTCAAATCAGTTCAAAAGTATATTAATTCAGATTTGGAAAATAAGTTTTATGATACTATTTTTGAAAGAAAAATTTAAAAATAATTATATTTTCCTTGATTTTGATTTACAAAAACATTTTTTTTAAAGAAAGTGTTATAGTTTTTGTATCTTTTTAATTTTAAATCTAAAAGAATCCCGCAAGAAATATATTAGTTTTGGGTTCCAATTGGTGGTGTGCAAAATTCGATTCGAACTTGCCAATTCGAAAATGGACTGGGATCAAAAACTACCTATCGTATTTTCTGCAGTTCCCTTTATTTAATTTATCAAATAAATTTATAAATTTATTTTTTATGTTGATTTTTAAAGAGTTCTTTAATTCATAACCAATGTTTGGCTTTGTGGAATCTGCATTGACTTGTAAAAACTTCCCAAAACCAAACATTGGTTTTGTAAGAAGTGTAAAAACACTTAAAAATTTTGTTTCGTTACTTTTTAATGAATGATTATATTTAAAACGTTTTTTAAATAATTTTTACTATAATTTGTTTTGTTTCGTTACATTTTTAACGATGGATTTTATTTAAAATGCGTTTTTATATAAAAGAAAATTTATAAATATTTATTCACATTAAGTGTGATTATATTGGAACACTTAAAAACATTTTAATTGGTATAAAGTGTGAAATTCATTTTAAAACTTAAATAAAAAAACTGTACTTTTTTTAAAAATAAGCTACACATAATTATTTGAATTTGGTGTGAAGGTTACTAACCTGACTTGAACACACTTCTTTTCATTTCTGTCATTCACCTTAAAAATTAAAAATTTTTTAATGGCATTATAGGAATAACTATATAACGGGCGAAATAATTCATTGCTCTTATTTCGCCCGTTGTCCCTCACCTACGTATTTTTATTGACGGGCGAAATAGACACGGCGAATAATTTACAGTTTTTTACCTTCTGATTTCAATTTTTAACAAGTTTTGCATTCTTAATTATGTTGAATATAGTTTATGGTTATAAGTTTAGAAATGTTCTTTACCAGAAATATATTCAATTTAATACATTTTTCATCTGTAAAATTGTAGAGGTATCGACGAAACACCCACGAAAATAGTGGGTCCGATTCTGACGATAATTATGTTCCTTATATACCTGTAAAAATTCGCAAACAACAACAACTTACAAAACTCGGAAGACTTGGACAATTAAAAGACGAGGCTTCATCGGCTGGTGGCGGTAAAAGTAGTAGTGAAAATGAAAAAGATGACGATGAATGTGATAATCAGCTTTTTTGGACTCGACGATCCAATAAATCTCTTCTCGATCAGCACACTGAGTTAAAAAAATTAGCCGAAGGTACGAATCATCATTTTAATTTCTATTCTTTAATTTTTGTATATAATTGAAATTTTTTTTCTATATATGTGGACGTCCACATGAAAAGGGCCCATATTGTCGGTTCTAGTTTTCGAGATAATCGCAATTTAGTAATTTTGGAGCAAAATCTTAATTTTTTAAAAATTTTTTATTATCAATCTGTATGTTTTGACAAGTCGAATCATGCGATTTTAATCAATTTATCGATAATTTAACTGTTTAATTTCATTGGTTCTTTAGAAAAATGAAAAGGGCCCATTTTGTCGGTCATTTGCAAAAGTAATCCGTATTTTAAAAATGGAGGTGTGGAAAAATTTAAAACCTCTTGATTTTTCATCTTTAAGGTGTCCTGGACTGTAAACAATTCTTATCTGAATAACTTCTAAGAAGAACCAGAGATTTTTTTCGTCATTGTCGAAATGAAAATTTGGATATTGCGTCAATTTTTTTTATAATAGAGACTGTCAAAAAATTTTAAATAAGTTTAATATCTATTCTATTTCTTCACATGACACAATAAAATTGTACCTAATCATTAATCTTTTTAAAAAAATGGTTTTTTAATAGAAAAACTGTCCTTTTTAGAAAAGGGCCCATATTGTCGATTTTTCGTATTTTCAAAATTAAGAGGGGAGGGGGATGGTTTTAAAAATTTTAAACCTATTGGTTTTTAATCTTTTAGGTACCCTGGACTGTAAAAAATTCTTATCTGACTAACTTCCCAGGAGAACCAAAGATATTGATGTTAGAGTCTTTGTTTTTGTAGTCATAGAAATGAAAAATTCGATATTTCGTGAAAATTTTCGTAATAGAGACTGTTAAAAAATTTTAAATAAGTTTAATTTCTATTCTTTTTTTTGAAATGACACAATAAAATTGTACCTAATTATTAATATTGTAAAAAAATGGTTTTTTAATAGAAAAACTGTCCTTTTTAGAAAAGGGCCCATATTGTCGATTTTTCGTTTTTTCAAAATTAAGAGGGGGGGGGGAATGGTTTTAAAAATTTAAAACCTATTGGTTTTTAATCTTTTAGGTACCCTGGATTGTAAAAAAATTCTTATCTGAATAACTTCCTAGAAGAACCAGAGATATTGATGTTAGAGTCTTTGTTTTTGTAGTCATAGAAATGAAAAATTCGATATTTCATGATAATTTTCGTAATAGAGACTGTTAAAAAATTTTAAATAAGTTTAATTTCTATTCTTTTTTTTTAAATGACACAATAAAATTGTACCTAATCATTAATATTGTAAAAAAATGGTTTTTTAATAGAAAAACTGTCCTTTTTAGAAAAGGGCCCATATTGTCGATTTTTCGTTTTTTCAAAATTAAGAGGGGGGGGGGGAATGGTTTTAAAAATTGAAAACCTACACGGAGAGAAAAAAAGAGAGCCGTTTGATTTGGCAAGAGAGCGCTGTTTTCCCTTTATAAAGCACAGCAGTAGCGCCGAAAACGTCGAACGGTTATACTTTTTGAGGAGTATCGGTTCTCTTCTCCACACAAATAGAGCCGCTTACTTTCTAAAAAGTGTACCCGCTTTCCCCAAAAAGGAAAACCGTTCTCCCCTCGAGAGTAAGCAGCGTGCTTAACCTCAAGTTGAACGGCTGTTTCGCATTTAACGCAACCGCTCTACCGACAGGTAGAATTAGTTTTTTATCTTCAAGGTGCCCTGAACTGGAAACAATTCTTATCTGAATAACTTCCAAGAAAAACCAGGGATACAACAATTAGTTGGTATCGCAATCTTTAATTCCGTTTTTCTCGAAGTGACGTTTTTGGCGTTCTAAACTTTGAAATTCCGTAACTCAGCGAATTTTTAACCAAAAAAGTTCTAAGACCACTCAAAATTTTCAAAATTTTGCCAGGAATACGCCCATATAGATAACTCCAATAGTGCCAAAATGGGCCCTTTTCATGTGGACGTCCACATATAATTGAACAGGATTGCCACAGGTCAGAGAAATCAGGGAAAAGTCAGGGATCTTTATTACAAGTGTTGGAGAAAATTAAATGTTTAGAATTTATAAGAAAATTCTTAATTTTTGTGTCTTTTTGTTTGTCTCCTAAACAATGAAATTACCACGAATTCTAAAAAAACCTTTAAGGGGCACACCTAGTGTGAGTGACTGAAAAAACGTCGATTTTTAGGAATTTTTTTCAAGGAAATTATTGCATCTAATTTTTTTTAAAAGTTTTGTACATGTATATTTGTATAAATAGTGAACATTTTGTAATTTTTGCAAAAAAAAATATCTTTTTTTTAAAGAGTTATTCGCTATATAAAAAAAAACCAGTTTCTCCACTGCTGCAGTTATTGCGGCCTTCTGAGTGACTGAAATCAAAAAAACCAAAAAGATTATTAAACTAGAAGATATTTGCCGTACTATGAGGCTCCAGTTTTTTTTTTGGATGAAAAATAAAATTTTGGGATGCCAAAAACTATCGAATTTTTTAGTCGAAATTTATAATTTTTTTTTCAAAACTCCGCCATTTTTTTGAAATTCAATATTTTTTTCCATCCGAGGGTCATAGTACGGCAAATGTCTTCTAGTTTAATAATCTTTTTGGTTTTTTTGATTTCAGTCACTCAGAAGGCCGCAATCACTGCAGCAGTGGGACAACTTCTTTTTTTACACTTGCGAGATGGGACATAACTTTTAAAAAAATATGTAGTTTTCTTTACAAAAATAAAAAATTAATAACTGATTTATAGACAAATAAAGGTAAAAAAAATTGAAAACATTTGACGCAATAAATTCTTCAAAAAAAATTCCTAAAAATTTTTTAATTTTTTCAGTTTCTGACAATAACTTATTTTGACGTATGAAACTATCGATACGGCTGCATGCGCACGGCCCAAAAACATACCAATATTTAAATAACGATTTTTCTGTAGAAGCAAATGTCAAAAAATTAGCAAATATACCATTCGAAAGCTTATAATATTCTTCGTTAAATGATATAGGGTCAGACCAGCTCAACTGTGTTAAAAAAATTTCATTGATTTTCTAAAATGTTAAAACTTTTATAAAAATCTGTAGTTCACAACAAAACAAAAAAACACATTTAACCGTTTTTTTGAAATTTGAAATTTTTCTTATTTTTTTTTTGCATTAGGGTCAGTCCACTGACTTTCGTCTGAGAGTCGTTGCGACCATATTTAAAAAAAATCTAATTTTCATATATGTGAAACTCAATGATTTTCTGAGTTCATTAGTCATAATATTATGTTACAAATTTTATTTCGTTTAATAATCTCCTATAATATTAACATATTCGTCGTCGTTTTGTCATCCGTCGGTCGTGTAACTCCGTACTTCATCGTTCGGTCGTTCGACTTATATCATTTATTCATCGTATCGTATATATATGTCGTAGGCGAAAAGGAAAATCCGTCGTTTAGGAAAATTCTCATGTAAATGACAATTATTTTTTTAATCGCCTGAATTTGTTAGTCATTTAGCTTAATGCCTAGGCTTTAAGCTAAACGCCCAAAGAGCGCCAGGCGAATAGAAAAATTTGTATCGATTGATCAAGAATAAACAATGAAATGAAATTTCAATTAGTAATATAATAGAAAAAATCCAAATTAAAGACAAACATATTTTTCACAAAATTGCAATAATTTATTGTAATTAATTGAAGTCAACTGAAAAGGAAAAAAATAACAATTTATTTATTGCAGCAAGTTAAACTTTGGTGGTATCGCGAACTGCAAATTATTTTTAATTTTAAGTAAGAGCACTTATTTGTCTTGGATTGATTTAATAGCCGCCTTCCAGTAACATTTTTTAAATCCTTGTCCGCCGCACATAGATTGATGTGATGCAGCTTCTCTTAAAGTCAGAGTGACATCTGTACAAACTTCGTCAATTTTTAGATTTTCAGTACCTGATTGCGATATATCAGTTCGCGAAAACCAACCTTTAATAATGCCATTTTTTGTACCAATTTTGTAAACATCGTTTTTAATGTCTATTACGACGCCTTCAATCATAGAAAAATCTAACGGGCCACGATCAACATCAGGTACCACCAAAGTTACGCAATTACCGATTGTTAATGGAGGAAACTGTTTGAGACTAAATATAATTTTGAATATTCTATAAAATTAAATTTAAAATGTAGTTTCAACTAAGAATATTTAAAAGCAAAGAAAATAAACAAAGACTCATAAACAAAAAATTAGAAACGATTTTCAATTCAAAATACCTGCAATATAATATTTATAATAATTGAAATTTCATTACAATGTTTATTCTTGATCAATCGATACAAATTTTTCTATTCGAATGGCGCTCTTTGGGCGTTTAGCTTAAAGCCTAGGCATTAAGCAAAATGACTAACGAATTCAGCCTATTAAAAAAATAATTGTCATTTACTTGAACATTTTCCTATTCGCCCGCGTTTAGCTTAAAGCCTAGGCATTAAGCTAAACGACGAAATTTCCTTTTCGCCACGACATATACATACTCATTGTACATACATATACGCATGCGCAGTAGTATTCTATCAATGGTACGCATGCGCAGTAGTGTTCTATCAATGGTACGCATGCGTAGTAGTGTTCTGTGAATGTCAGGCATGCGCAGTAGTATTCTATCAATGGTACGCATGCGCAGTAGTGTTCTATCAATGGTACGCATGCGTAGTAGTGTTCTGTGAATGTCAGGCATGCGCAGTAGTATTCTATCAATGTCAGACATGCGCAGTAGTGTTCTGTGAATGTCACGCATTCACAGTAGTGTTCTATCACTATAACGCATGCGCAGAGGTGTTCTATCAATATCAAGCATGCGCAGTAGTGTTCTATCACTATAACGCATGCGCAGAAGTGTTCTGTCAATGTCAGGCATGCGCAGTAGTATTCCATGAATGTCACGCATGCGCAGTAAGGTTCTATCACTATAACGCATACGCAGTAGTGTTCTATCATTATTACGCATAAGCAGTAGTGTTCTATTACTATAACGCAT